TTACCAACCCGCTTATTACAGTAATCACGAACTTTTAGCACGGTCAAGTATAGAAGTAATATGAAATTCGAATTTTTGAATATATCGTATTAGATAATTCTAGAATCATTGATCGACATCTTTATCGCTATAAAAGGTGCGATCGACTGTGTCCAAAACTCGGTATATTCCCCGACTGTAATAAAGTTGTCTGTTCCCTCCTAAATATAAATTATTTTTTATTGTTTTTTTTTAGATCGTTAAAATACAATATATCATATTATTCTAATCACAAACCTTAGCAACTATTTTTTGGAATTTTTGTTCAAATTCTTTTTTAATTTCTTTCCGTGCGTGCTTGGGTACATCTTTAATTATCATACACAACCGTGCCTAAATAAATAATTGTTAGTTTAATATATAAAACTAGATGAGTATTGGTTCAAAAACATTTTATACTTTGAAGATTTTATAATCATTCTTAAGTCGATTGGCACCATTTTGAAAGCTTTGAAAAGTTGATGACATATGTCGGTTGATTACAAATTGATTTTTGAAAAGTATCATATTGCTTAAACTTGCATTCAGTAGGGTCAAAAGAAGATCTTTACAGCAAATAGATTAGCATGATATTCAATAATTATTTAGAAATACTTTAATAGAAAACTATGTACTGTAATACCTTCTTGTTGATGACGTTCTGAAGATCCTATTCCTTCAAAATCCAATGTTACATAAACAACTTCTTTTTTGATAGCTATTATATAATATGTTGTTACTACATATAAAAAATATATGTTTTATAGATTATTTATAGATAAATTATTGTATCAAATAATTACTTAATGACATCCACGCGCCTTCTGTACATCGCTATAATGTATTTGATTTAATAAATGTTATTAAAAATAAGCATTTATTAGAGAAATACCAACCATTGCTGAGCCATCAAAGTTTGTTCCTGCAAGCTTTAAATTTAAATTAATCATTGAAAAATATTTAAAGATAGTGAAAAAATAAAAGTCATATAATTTAAATTTTATACAATACATGATTTATCAAATATGACTTTCCACAGCTTTGTTCGCCCATTGAGGATATTACTTTGACCTTTCGATCTCCTAAATATTTAAAAATTCCTTCATACCACCCAAATGATATTTTACGACTTATTAAATCTGTACAATCTTCTTTATCTTTATCATATTTTATATTATAGTTCTCAGGTACATCAAGTCCATTATAAAGTGGAACTAATTTGTTTTCTTTAGCAATTGTTATTTGAATCGGTATTAAACAACAAAGCTACTTTTAAAAGTAAATAATATTAATAGCTACTACAAAAAAAAAAAAAAAAAAAAAAAGACAAATTTGTAATATAAAATTTTGTAAGTTAACTTGAATTATCCATTCACCAAGCTGAATTTTAGATGCATATTGTTGTCTAATAACAGAATCATCAAATAAATCTTGATAAGGTTTGTCATAAGTTTTAAATTGATTTAATAAATCAGCAGGTTTCCGAGTAGATATCTTCACTCTTTCTAACATATTATTAATATAATCTTCAAAATTTTTTTTATAATCTAGAGCCAGTTCACGTTCCAAAAATATAGATAATTGTGGTGCTTTGTTGGTTCCGTCATCAATCATGGGCTGATTGGAAACTTTTTATATACTTCAGCATAAATTTCGATTAACCCCATTAAGCTTTAATTTAGGCAAAATTTGAAAGAATGCCACTTATTTTGAATATTTTCAGAGAAACAACCTTCAATTTTTAAGCAATTGTTCGAAATAATTTCAGTAACAAGCTTATTTTCATTCTCAATAGTAATACAATCCCCGACTTCAAAATCAGACTGGAAATTCGTTTCTTTTCCAGTTATTTCCGAATAATTATTAAGGCTTTCTAATGGTTTAGGTTTAGCAAATCCAAGTGATAATTTAGTAACTCTTTGAAATTGAAGTTCTATTCTATTAACAGAAATTTTAGTTAAAAAAGATTTAAAGCATGATTTGTTTAAATCAATATAGCATAAGTGGATCTGTTTGTCAATAATATATGATAAATGACAAAACTTTAATTCTTCAACGCCTAACGGCAGGTCAATTACTGTGAAAAAATTGACATTAATGATTCAGTTTATCAAAATATTTTTAATTCACAAATTATACCAACCTTTTTGTGATTCTTCAGAGAAGGGTAAAAAGTAAATATATGCTTTGCTATTTAAGAATCCATCATTCGTAAATGCTATAACACATGTGCCATCTGGAGAACTCAACACATTTACTATATTAGGTGGAAATTTCAGAGTTCTTGTTAAAAGTTGCATTGATCCAATAGAAAACAACTTTACTTCTTCATTTTTTTCAATAAAGCATAAATTTTCTGTACGTTGTACAAAAATAACTTTTAAAATATCAGGAATACAAATATCCTCAAATAATTTATCAATTTTGGTATAACCACAAATATCAACGTAAATTGTGTTTCTTCAAATTTATGATAAATTGCAACATGTTAAATAAAAAATTTTTATAATAGTAAAATATAATTTTACCTTAGTAGATTCTGTTTCATAAAATAAAACTAACCCTAATGACTCATTTTTATCAATTAATATATCCTTTTTAACATTTTTATATACTATAAATAGGCATTAAATTGCATGTGCTGGTGCATTTTGCCACAAAATAGCTCGAGAAAATTTGTAAAGTTATTCCAAAGAAAAAGAAAAATGCATCGATTTTGTAATTGAAAATTTTTTCTGCAAATAAATATATATATCAGGCATGAGACATGACCCTTACAGGGGTTCAAAATGTTGTTAAATATAAATCAAATGAGTTGACTCACCCAAATTTATATATAAAATTTGACAAAAAAAATACTTTTCTTTAATTTAT